CGCCGCCGCTGGCGAGAAGGAGGGAGCGGTGGTGCGGGTCGGCGGCGAAGTTTGGCAAGAAGAAATGGGTGGGATAAAGCTCTAGCGGGGACCTGAACACCATGGGATGACCGGGGAGAGGGGGAGATAAATCAAGGAGAAAAGAAAGAAAGGGAGGAAGAAGGGAGGAAAGGGCACACGCACCGCGCACGCATCCACACCCGCACACGCACACACAGCCACATAGAGGCACGGGGGCACACACACTCGCACGCACACGCGGACACACACACACGCACACGCACACACACGCGCGCACACGCACACGCACTCACACACACCCGGCCCCGCGCCGCCGCCGAGTCAGGATTCAGTGATTCAACAGCAATCGCCCTAATGACAACAGCCTCATAATATCTCCCCTAAATCCACAGTGAGTGCAGCGCTGAAACATTTTGTTTCGCTTTTCTATTGGTCTTCCGAGTGTCGTTGTGGCGTTGCCATGGCAGCCCCTGCCAATCACTGTCAGCCCTGCCAATCATTACGGAGTACGTAAGGAAGGTTTTTACCACTTCGCCCAAATGCACGGGGGGGGAGGGAAGCGGGGCGGTTGGTGGAAAAGCCTGGTTGTTTTTTTTTTTTTTTTTTTTTTCCTCCTTAATCTTTGCAACTCCTAATCTCAGCACTTCCCCTTCTCCCTGTCTCCCCCCCTCCCTCTCCACACCCCTCCTAAATAAGGGATCAAATAATGCGAAAAGCAGTGTGCACATATTTGTTGAATGGGATGAGCAATTAGAGGGTGGAATATTATTGTGATCTTAACGAGCCTCGTTAAAGCTAAAGGAGATATGGGGGGAAAGTAAATGGGCCAGGCTGGGATACACGTTCGGATAAAGGGCTCCTAACTGAGACAATTTACACATGATTTGCACGTAGTTTCACTTCATTCTGCCTATCTGAGCACTAATAGTGCCGGGGAAGAAAAGAAAGATGAGATCATTAGACCCATCCTCACGCCGGTGACCCTCCCAGAAGCAGGCACATACAGTACAGCCTGGGTTTAGCCCCGGTTCCCCGAAGAGTCTCTGTCCTCTCCTCCCCTCTCCCGCTTCCTGCCCTTCTCCGCGGAAGGAGGGATCCGCTGCCCGCGGAGTTCCGCGGCGGCTCCGCCGAGAGCCGCGCAGGGACCGGCTCCGCGCCCGGCTCCGGCGGCGCCCCGCTCGCTGCCTCCCCCGTCCCACTCCTTGCTTCCCCCGCCCTCCCGCTCCTTCTCGCCTTCCCTTTCCTTCTCCTTTCTCTTCCCTCTCTCCACTTTGTTTTTCTTTCATTCCGGCTTTCCTCCTCCCACTCGCCTCACCTCCTCGCTCTACCCTTCCTTTCTCCGCAGCCCGGCGACCTCGCGGGGCTGGTCCTCACCCCAAAACCCACCGGGGCTTTACACCGCACCTCTCATTTTCCCCGCAATTTCTGCCGCGAACTTGCAGGGCTTCTGTGCTAGGAGGAGGAAAGGGAGGCGAGCGAAAGCGGGTTTGAACCCAGATTTATTTTCTTTCTTTTCCTTTTTTTTTTTTAAGTGGGACCAAGGAAAATCTCTGTGGTGGTTTGTGTCCATCCCTCAGTAAGATCTAGCTGGGTCGCCAGACCTTGCTACCATGCAACTATATTTATTATTAGGTATGTTGCTTTTAAGAAGATTTAATCAGCATCTTGAGCTGGTAACTCTTTTGTTTAGTTTCTGTAGCTATGGAAGTGTGATTTACAGAGATTTGTACGGGTCATGGACATCTTTCCAGACTTACTGTGTATATTTAGACAGGACTTTGCTTGGTGTTAAAAAGTGTATATTTTGAATAGGTTCACACACAGTAGCAAACAATACCGACATTGTAAAGGCATGTACAACGAGTATTGAAACGCAGCATCCAGACTTCAACTAATCTGCCCTCAATAAAGCTGAAATAATTATCCTAAGCCGCCTTTCTAGAAGAAAAATCATTGAGGAATTCAAAACTTTTTTAAAGATCTTTTCTGCATTCCGATGGAGATCGAGGGGTGAGGCTTGGAGCCCAAACTACTTTCAGACATCAATGGAGGGAAGGAGGGGGGGGAAGAGAGATATTACAATTAAAATGTGAAAACATAGCGTGACTTGCCCTATCCGAAGGATAATAATAATACTGCTATGGGTGGTAGAAGTTCTTTAGCTGGGCTCCAAACTGGTTGTGATCCTTTCACAGCGCACTCCTCGTGAAATAATTCCAAGTGGCAGATGAATAGGTCCAGTTGGAAGAGCTGCTGGACTGGAAGAAGCTCGCTGTATTACACATTCATCTGATTTCCACTAAACTGTCATCGGTGAGCTACATGGCTTCATAGTCCTAATGGAAATAACTCGCCCTCTTAATTTTTAGTGATCTGCTTAAACACTTCTGTTAACAGACTTGAGCAAAACTTTTTTCGCCCCCCGCGCCCCCCGGCTCGTATTTCCAGTTGTACAGCTGAGGAGGTAAAGAGACTTCTCAGCCCCTCTACAAATCGACTTGGAGGTATTAATTGGACAACAATATGTTTAGCCAAAGATTTTAATACACACACACACAAAATCTTTTTCTTTGTAATCCTTTCCTTTTATGTAAAGGATTACAGAGGGGAGGGTGGGGGGAATTCCTGCGGGAGTTTCTTAATATTTGATTCCCTTTTTCTTCAAGCTGCAAATTAAACTGCCTTAAAATGTATTTCTAGAATATAATCCAAACCGGCTTCTTTTATTTTATTATTTTTTTTTTTTTAAATCTTCCAGACGATCATGCACTGGTCGTTCGCCTGCAGGTTCCATCCCTCCGTTAGGTTCCCTGATGAACCTTTCAAACCGTCAATATATCTTTCATGTCTTTCTTTTCTCTCTTTCTTACTCTCTTTCATTCTCTCTTTCTCTCCTGCTTTCCTCCTTCCTTCCTTCCTTCCTCCCTTCCTTCTTTCTTTCTTTTCCCAGACATGTGAAGCATATAACAACTGCATTTCTGGTGAAAATCTTTCTTCCAAAATATCCTTCTGTAGGGCATCTCAACGCATGTCTACCCTGTGCGCGTGTCTCTGCGTTTAAAGCCAAACAAACCCACACCCCCGATGTGCCCCTCCGCTAACACCAAGGTCTTACTGCAGCCCGCTCTCCTCTCCGCTCCCGCGGACGCCCAGCACAGGAGCTCCGCCAGCCAGAAGCTCCTGCGAGGACGGAGCCACCATCCTAAAATGCTTGCGCCTGTTGTCGCCGCTCGCCGGCGCGGGTCACCGAGGCGCGGTGGTCGGTAGCCAGACAGGGGGAAACGGATCCGCTGCTTGCCCAGCCCGGCCGGGGATTGAGCGCTCCCCTAAGCCTGTTAGGGACAGACTCTCATGTCCTGAAATGTGCAAGCAGATAATTGTTGGCGCTCTAGCTTTGTGTGGGGAGGCCAGGGTGTAAATGGCTTTTAATGACTGCAGCTGCTGGCTGCAAACTGTCAATGGGATCGGCTAATGCCGAGCCCGGACCC